ACAACATGTCTGTGTCAATCAATGTTCCTCACGATGTTATGAGGAATTTATATTATACGACTTTGGAATGGCTTGGCACCTCTATTCTGTTAGTGATTTCGTCTCCGCAGCGCAGGTTTACTACCTACCTATACAGTATACCTATATAATAATATGAAACAGCGTTAATAACGTTTTGTCATTGATCGAGTGGCACGAAGTGTGGATGAGACATAATAACGTAACGACATTATATTACGATTATACAATTTTTTGAGTGCGAACGTCTGCCTTTGAATCATCGTCGTCGCTTTGGATCCAAATTATACACTTCGTTATTATGATTTATGTTTGTCATAATCTAATTACAGCTGTAAACGTACCGATCTACCTGCAGTTGAATTGAGTACGTGGTATTTAGTTATTTTGGATGCAATCTCTGTAGTGGAAACATCAAAAATGATTACATAATATGAACGTTTCGCGAGAAAAAGAAAGAACTCGATTTTCGCCGCATATTGTTTGATTACATAATGCAAACGTCACTTGCTGCTGCATAGCCGTCACTTTAGGGGTCCCACGAGCTGGCCAAGATTAAAGATAGGGAAAGGGGCACTATTCAGTATCCCGGGGGCAATAGAATAAAAGGGCCTACCCTTTTCCACTCAAATAATTGTACTACGAAAAATTATATATTTGTAATAAATTTGATAACATAATGATCAAGTTTGTTACATTCAGTGCAAATTGTAGTTGTGAATAAAAGTTCATGATTTATTTTTATTACGAAAATGTGCCCGTTATTATGCCTTTTAAACATAATAATATGTATGATGAGTAGACATATGTGATATGTATTTATTTTGATAGTCTTATTAGTAATTTTATTTTTTAATTATTTATTACCGTAAAAAAATCAACTTAATCAAACTTATTTTAGTTTAAGTGAGGAAAATGGTTTAAGTTTAAAATTTGAGCCCAATAAGAATATTGTGTTTTGGTGCTCTGCAATGAATGCAAATCCCAACTCGTCGACTACGAAATAATACTGTTCATTATTATTTATTATGACTACAATATTTTCAAATGATTTACTTTAATTTTTAATATAATAAAATAAAAGCATATTAAACGACCCTCGCGGTCGCCTCCGTTAGTGACCGCGAAGTAAAAGTATGAATATACAAATAGAAACTGCAAATACACGTCCAATATTTTTGCTTGGAGGTAATCGACGAAATGATTTCGATCAGAGCCGTACCTGTATACAATATTCCATAGACTTAATATAAATAAATATATATATGTATTGTGTGTGTTTCCATGTACAACGATGTGAACATCTGTGGCCCCAAATGAGATTTTCGCTGTTACGACCGTATGCAATTCTTATTAAATCTCGTTTTGCCCTCACTTTATATTTAGTTTGGTTAAGAATTTGAAATTTCTCGCAGTACAACACGAACCGAGGATAATCATAACTTGCGCGGTTCTGTTCAGAATTCAAACCCTTACAGTACACTTACGCGCATATACATTCGAGTTGCTTTTAAGAGTTAATAGACTTGTACATTTGAACAAATATTGGTTTTACCTACGCACTTCCCGTTAGTGCTATTATATTCAAACATATATCACGTATACAAACATTGTTGCGCGACCATAATTTTTAAATATTCTATAGCACCCAAGTGGTTTTGTTGAGACAAACATAGTCCGGATCTGTTCTTAAATTTTGTTTAGCTGATCGTACACGATAGCTTGTGCCTACCATGTGATACGATGCGTATCGATATCGTATTGTGTAATATAAATGGATGTATGCCATATCCATGTGTTTATGAGGTCGCGATACATTAAACAATGTGGTTGTAGATATCAAAACGACGTTATTCTTATCACAGTTCACTGGTGGGTCAAGGTCGGGGACGTAACGAGTAAAGACGAGATAAATCAAAACTAGAATAAAACCTTTAAATTTCATAATTTACTGTCTCGGAAGCGTTTCGCATATATAGTACGTACATACATATATTAACTTAGGTGTATGCATATAGACAATATAGTTCAAAACAATTTCGTTGCCGGAAAAAGTTTTCTGTCGAAGGAAGAGTTTCGATATTTTTTCGAAAGCCACGTGCGAGTCGAGGGCAACATTATATATAATATATTATATGGAAAATTGGCATTCGGTTGTGCAGCGTTGACGTTTCGGGCGAAGGTTCCACCGCCGCGGCGTACATGCCACCGAGTTGAAAAATGTAGTGTTATTTGTTGACTCGGCATGTAACGGCGACGACGAGGACGAGAACAGTCGCGGAATTCGTCTCATTTATTCCGCCGCACAACAGTTGTACCCTACAGCTCGGTTTTTAAATTAAAAAGTTGCTACTTAGTTTTTATTGTCCCGTGACGTTGTTGAATTAAAGAATGGGAAAAAAAGAGAAAGAAATAAAGAAACGATGACGAAAAAAAATTATATATAAGAATGCTTAATAATGTGTACTTTTATCTCGTCGTCGCGGACAGACCGAAATAATGGCGAAATACAGTTTTTCACGGTGGAACGCCGTCGTACAGCTAAGCCGAGTGTAAAATTCTGTGAGAAATTCAGATTTTTAACGTCTTCCGGCGGGTTCGCGCACGTTTTAAAGAATGGATGCCCACCGTCCGCCGAGTCTATAGTGTCACAAGAACGATATATATATATATATTTAAATTATCTATTTATAAAATATTGAGTGCAAGACGAACGACGAAAAGCTGAGAAGATGTGTGATGATTTAAAAAAAAACCGAAAAAAAGGACTTTCGGAACGTGGTCTTTTTTCACCTAAATTACTAAATTACAGAGCACAGACTTGTTTTACCTTTTAACCCTGAAAATCCTTTATACATATTAATACGAATGATTATGGGATCCTCGTCGAAACTTTAAATGGTTGATAACATAAAACTACCAGTAAAATATTTCACTATCATTTCGTTCATCGACCCTTTTAGATGTGTGTAAGACATTAGAATCACATGTAATATAGTACAACTTAGGTATACATTTTCTAAAGAAAGGAATTTTCTAAGGAAAATGTTCTAGACTGTTAAAATAATAAGTGATAATTATGTACATATGCTATGTATATATGACCTTTGTACGGTAAATTGAAAATGTATACGAAATATGACTTTATGCATGTAGACGGGTGGGTACAAGACAATAATATAACGCGATGATCATATTTTAAACGGAGTTCGTGGTGAAGCAGCCAACAATCACCAGAATACTCGCGGATAGAAACGCCCTGTGATTCGTGCCTATACGCGTTATGTGTGACGGTGATGACGTGTTTAATAATGCGTTTCGCTGCCGGAGTCAAGAGCCGTGTCAATTATTCTGGTTCGACATATATATATATATATATATATATACATCATCATATCGTATCATACATTATTATGGCGTGCTTTTGTAATAAGGGTTAGGTAATAAGGGTGTGCTCCTGCGCTCGTCGATCGATGTGCCGAATAACTGTATTATGGGTGTACAGCACACGTCGTCGTAAAGGCCAAACCGCGAAACGTCCGTCGTCGGTGTCATTTATAATAACAGTATAATAACATAATGTGCACGCATCGACATGCGGTTAATAATTTGATTCGATTATACGATGGTGTTACGGTTTGGTATAGGTATATACTATATATATAGTCGCCAAATTAATATGATAAACGCGCAATCACTGTTTATATGTACATCAATCGATTTGAACGCGTGACAATAATAATATTATAATGTTATTTTATAATACGACGTCAGTTACCTCTCGTCGAGCACATGCGTCGTCATACTTCTCCTACAATGGCGCATAACATTTCGATACTTTAGTGCATGCGAATATTTAATTGAACACGATGCGTACGTCGTGGTGTGGCGATAACACCAAAACGGTATCTCCTCCAAGTCCAAGGAGAATGTCACAATTTAAATGACGTAGTTATGTTTTCAACGACGAGCCTACATCACGTGTTTGTTTTTTGTGCACAATTTGTATTACATCGCATAGAAACGCGTGATGATGATGCCCGAATTCATGTTGGAACGTGGTCATTAGAAGATATTGCATAATTAGGGAATTCTAGGTTGTTATACATTTGCAATTTTTTTTTGCTCCTTTACGGGTTACTCAGAATTATTCAATTATATGCTTAATTAGCTACAGATGTGTTTTATTAGACCCCCGGTATTTAAGGTATTTAAAATGTAATCTCTTTTTTTCCACATTGTTTTGTTGCAATTAAATCATGTCATTTTATCTCTATTTTAAATTTAATTCTATGAAAATTTATATTAGTACATGTTTGGAAAATGTTTTAAATATAATATGTTTGGCACATAATAGTTTCTCTAGTTTATTTATTTGTTTTTTTTTTATAAAAGTTGTATACAGCTTCAATCTGCAGTGTGTGTACAAGTTAATGCAGTTAGGCAGTATTATAAAATATACAGTATTACAGTATACACCATACGCACCATATTATTATATATATATAGGTTTGTTAATTAAGAGGACTTGCATACTATGTATTACATTTTTTTTGTTTAGCTTAATAAAAAATTAACATACATTGCAATACAAGCATAGTTTTCTTGTGTGCTCACACGCACAGCTACAACTACGATATTGCGTGTCATTTTCTTTAATGAACTTATCCGTAGCTTTACAGCTATGGTAAAAATTTAGTAAATAATTTAAAACACATGTTAGTGAATATTACATTTTAAATATCATTCCGATACTAATTGATGACTCATTATTATTACGGCATACCCTATGATGCGCATATTTAAGTCTTGAAAGAAAAACTTATTTAACTATAAAACTTTTTTTTTCCTATTATTTCGTAGAGATAGACATTATTATATAATATATAACTATTAAAGGTTTAATAATCACAAGAGTCTCCTCATGACTATCCAAAATTAACATTTTCCCAGAAACGTAAGACTAATATATCTTTACTCACTTGGACTGCTCGATGCTTATGCTCTGCACGACGGACATGATAGCGTCGCTCTGCATTTCCCGGATGACGCATCCGATCATCCGCAGATTGGAGATGAGAGTCGAATTTTGAAACGCTTCGCTCTCCAACCGGTCCACGGTGACGTTGGTCAGCGTTGCGTTGCCAATATCATTGATCGGAAAAGCTTTCCTCTCGATCGTACCGAACGTACAGTTAGTTATCGACAGCATATCGATAGACGTATAGAACGCGTACGACGGCAGTTTTTCCGCATTCAGGTTTTCCAATATCATCTGTTATCAAATTATGAAAATATGAATGATAAAAACAGATAAAAAAATTAGGCGTGTATCGGGCTTTGAAGTAAAATTAATCGTGCTATTTCCGGTCAAAATAATAAATTCACCATTAAAAGACAAGTCAAAATTATAAGAATGTCGACATTGTGAAAATCAAAAAGTCTGCGGGTTCGTCTACACTGAAACATATATATTATATAATATACAGTGTATACATGGTGGCGCAACTGAGATATTTTATATCTTTCTGTTTTGTAAAATTATTGAATTCGATTCATATAATATAATAATAAATTGATCAAACGGTTATAAGTGTTATAACACATAAATCAAATATGGTATATGACGTTGCAATCGGTGCCGATGTAATTGTTATCGAGAATCTATATCGCGTGTGATGGACGGAAAAGGCGAGCCAACGATTTTTCTCCGCCGTTAATCTGCAGCCGTGTCGGTTCACCGCGACAACTTGGCACCCGCAATAGTTGCAGAAATTATATCGTGTATCTGTTAAAAACACTCGTGTGTCGCCACGAACTTGAGTCCCGAAAATTATTGCCTAGCATTATACCTACGTATATATTTTAGTTTAAAAACGCATTATTCTCGCGCTGTTAGCAACGTTATATATATTTTTCAAAACTTTTAGGTCCGTAAAAAACCTACAAAATTTATGATCTCTATATTATATAATTCATTTCGAACTTTTAAAGCTCTTATAAACATGATAAGCCATATTATATCCGCGAAACCGTCGCATACCGTCGTAAAATCTTCAGGGCTAATATAATATATAATATATTAATATTATATAGTCGTTGTTCGACATTAATTCTTTGAAATTAGTTTTCGGTCGGTAAATTTCAACCGCTCTACCGCCGGCTTGTGATGCTGGCCGTTTTCGGCAAATGGACGAGAAAAGCGACGAAGACATTAATCGATTTCTATAGTTGTACGCTCAACGAAATCAGATAATCTTTTAAGATTTTTACGAACATCAGTTGAAGCGGATGTGGTCGGTATAGCGAGACAGGAGATTTATCTGTAGTCACAGTATGTTCGATGATGCACAATAAGTGTGCAAATAGTTACAACTTGCATATACCGGAAGAAAATCTAGTATGGAAAACTTGCAAAATGACAGGAAGTGTAACACGCGTTGACGTCTAGGTGAACCGGTGGATGTGTTATATGACGTCATGGGAGCATATCTTGGAGTGGAAAATCAATAGTATATATACATTTACTTTTGCCATTAGAATACCAGACGCTACGTCATGATCGATTTACCTGGAGAACTGGAAAAAGTACAGACCGCGAAGACTGAGGTTGTTGTGGACTTATAGATATAGATAATTTAATAATATTTGTGCTCAGTTATCACCTTTTCGATTGATGAACCTGTGGCCGCGTTCTTGAACGTATTCTTAGACAAGTCCAGGACGCGAATCCTGCGGAACACGAACGACCTGAGCTTGAACACCACTTCGCTGCCCAGCTGGACCACGTCGCAGTCCTCCACTAGCACGTCCACCGTACCATCGTACGGATGGAACGCATTCGTGTCCAGATACAGCTGACGGGCACGGCTGATGTTCACCGTGAAGTTTGTGCGAGCGTACTTGGCCAGCACGCCTTGCGACCGGATCGTTACCCGGTCGAACCCGGTCACGTTGAACGACCGAAGACCGGCGAATGACGCGAGCACCTTGTTGTTGACTGTCAGATTACATCGGCCATCACCGTTCAACTCCAGCACTACCAGCGATTTGTTCAAGTTCTTGACTGGTTCCCATATCACGTCCTAGAAAATCCAACAGAACAAGATAAGTGACTATTAAAAATAACACGACTTCTGCAGGATTTTAATAATACAGTTTTTATTACAGTATTTGAGAACTAGCTGGAGCTAAGCGGGTATTAATTATAATTTCGTAATTGGCAGACTATTTACTAGACGACTGTTGAGTTAGTATATGAACATAATACGGAATTATGGGCTTTTTCTCAATCGATAGTAATATAGGTCTAACATTTTTCGGGCACGGAGTACGAGAACGTGTTGTTCGATGGTGTATTAGGTTCGTATGACTTTTAAACAGTTAAAATCCTACCTAACCAAAAAAATCGGTATATGACAATATCTACAATTTACGATTTTTGTTGTAAGTAGTTGGAAGGATAATGGTTAGGTTAAGGGTAAGTACATAACCCGATATAAAATCTATAAATGAATACGTTTTAATAATAATTCGCAATAGAGATTATTTCAGTGTTTCAGTGGCAATGTTTTATTATAGAAATAGGCCAAACAGAATTATGTATACTTAATTTGCGTCAAAAAATATTGCTTATGTAAAATATATGTACGTAAACTGATTTTCTGACGTAAATTATATTTGAACACGGTATTAAGTTATTGCATTCGATAAGAAAATACGAATAATTTAAAATGAATGCAGGTCCTTGACAAAATTGCAAAAAAAAAAATCCGTGTACTGATAACGTGACACGAATATATAGTATACAGCGTGTTATTGAAAAAAATGTATTTTATTTTTTATCAATATTAATATATTTATTTTTATACCAAATGTTATCTCACTCGTCAACCATCTAAAACGGATTGACTGTAATGTTTTAAAATTGATAAAAAACTGTCCTCTACATTTTCAAGAATTTTTTTAATTGTTGGATGTACCTTATAAATATTATCATATTTTTTTTTTTAATTTACTCTGCCCTTTGATTGTACAGCTTGTATAAATAATTCACTACTTTCCAAACGAAACATTTCAAGCACGTGGTTTCGTGGTGTTGTCCTAAAATAATCAATAAAACGCAAATTACTATAGTGGACATGACTGATTACGGTTGACTACGGGTACCGTACTATTTAACCCGAGAGAACCATTTTACACTTCCAGGTAAGTGATGGACAACCATATTCTTGCGTTTAGGTCAACTAAACCCGACTATTCAACATTTCCAGGGTTTTGGGCTTTCTAATTTGTCAACTCACTGTATTTTCGAAATTTATCATCAACAAAAATATATACAGTTGTCCTCGCGGGCGTCGTAATTAATTAAAATACCAATTACTGCACCTAATCCCAAGGACAAAAATAACAAATGTCAAAAACTCATAAATCATATTTAAGTTTGAACGTGCAAAGGTACCTGTGCATTATTATAATTTCTAATAGAAAGTTTTTCCGTCCTACTTATATATTGTACTAAACTATAATGTTATAAAACCGTTGAATTATACGAGTAGCGCCTTTCTACAATTTTAATTTTTTATCCATACACATTTTAAACGCACAACCTAATAATTTATAATTCTGGTGCCAAAACTCAACTATTACGATTTTGAATAGTAAATTATACTAATTTTTTTATTTGACTACCGTAGTATATAAACAGAGATTATATTATTTTATAATCTTTGAAGGTGCTACATAATTATAATTTTTAAGTCATATTAAATTAAAATATAACGATATGTTTTCAACCATTTAACGTTATGATTGATAGGTGCGCATGTACATAATACATACCTATAACGATTTATCTGCTGCAAAAACTACTCGCATAGTACATTAATGTTATTACAATCGCATAGTTTATATTTTGCGAAAAAAATTGTTTACATTCTGATAAAAAGTTTGTACGATTGCTGCTGGAGACGACGGGGGCCGTAATGCCGAAATGCTCCATGAATTGCGATACTCCGGTTTTGGCACACAAACACGGAGAGCTGTGTAATCCCGAGGGATTACGCGATGCTTGACAAACGTGGTAGATTACGTGAAAAATGACGTGCACTGTTGCGCACATTATTTTCCTATTAAAATTGGCAGTGTGAGAGTTCTTTTGTCTCCGTTCAGCGCGCTATTTCACTCGATCCTATCGCTACCGTAAGTCTGATTTAATTTATGTGGACAAATTCAAAATATAATGAAGCCGGTTGAAGTGTGTACACGTACACACTATAAACACTCCAGCATGTATTATGGCTTCAAAAAACCATCGTAATTTCATTTGAGTTGCAGTCTGTCGACTGCAGCATGCACACCACTGGAGGACACCACTGAGTATTGGTACATAAATATACAATAGCGACTTTAGAATATTCATCGTAACATTTTATTATAATTATTTATTATATAATATTATGATTGCGATTATAATATGATAAATACGGCAGGGATGAGTCGAAACAATTTGCATGTTGCATTGTGTTATATTGAAATTTTAAAATCGACGTCTACGTTAGATCCAAACCAAGATATGCGAGGAACACGTCGCGTAAATAAATAGTTTTGAGCAAAAGTTATAGTCTGAAAACGAAAAGCTGAAACGCGTAGACGTAAAATGTTTGGTACCTACTCGCTAAACGCATATCGACGTAGATCTGATCGAACAGAATGCATTCATCAAGACGACCGAAAGCTGTCGAAGATTGGTATATACGTAAAACTTTGAAATGACAAGAAATACGATGTCGATGCACATTATCATGAGAAACGCTCTGAATGAGTTCTATAATAAATTGGAACTCGAGAGTCATCAAACATTGTTATATAAATCAAAAACATCACTTTTTCAAACAGTTTTTATTTAATGTTTTGTATTATATTAAAACATAGTTTGAAATTATGTACAACTTACATCCGTTTTCGATAGAAACATTTTTGTCAAATTATTAAGTACGCATAAAAACTTACTCTATACATGTGCCTTCTTATATTATGATATTTTTAAGTTTTAAAGGATTTGTTTATTTTTTGAACAAAAAAAAATCGTTATAACACTCCTTTTGGTTTGTATTTTTTGAAATTCGATATAATATACATAAAAAGCGTATAAAAGTTGACTGTTAACTATACAACGTTATTTATATCGTATATATAATATAGTCTTACGACGTTTCGGCTAAAGGACCCATAGAGACCTCTCCGGAGTAATTTCATATCGATTGAGTGAATGTAAATAAATAACTATATTTATAGCTAAGACGAGTGTCTATTTTCTGTAAGCGCACTTAAAATTTCTCAATTTCCACCGTTGTCGTTTATTTCCAAGTGCGATTTTAATAATGCGCTGAATAAAGTTCACGATAATTGTGGGTGAAACGCGAGAATGAAAATATCTTTGAGAGACAACTGCATATATACAGTAAATGTTATTTGCATATGAATCCCTAGGCGAAATTAAACTGGACTTTAAACGAGACACGGTAGTCTAATAAAATAGTTCCCCGGCGCGTGCATATATCGTTGAAACACTAACTTTTATGCTCACAATCGAGTACATATATTTTATATATATATGTGTGTGTTTGCTACTTTTTTCTTTATTTTTGTCGTCCCATATATGTACCACTGTACTTTATATCTATAATATATATTGTTTGTGTGTGTGTATGTGGGTGGGTGCGTGTGTGTCGACTGACAAAAAATTGCCTTACCATCAAAACCAGGACTAATATAAATCCGGTTTAATTGTATATCGGTTGATTGAGCACGGCGAACGGACGGGCGGTGCGGTAGAAAATCGTAATGGTTCAAAGAGGCCCAGTGGAATTGTAAGAAACGATGTGCCTTTCCTTATTTTCTTTTCGACTTCCAGACAGCAGTTTTTTTTTTACGGGATACAATTTTCTTCATGTACGTGATCCGAATGCTACTTTTTTACGATACCGCCCCCGGAGTTATGTTGGTAATTTTTTTTTTTACCTCTCAAACAAAATTTACGTGCCACAAAAGAGAGGTTATTTTTGGTAAATTATCAAATACTGATCTGATACTTTAGTAATACAATTATTAATATTTATAAGGAAATATTCTGATTAAACCCAAAAGAATACCGAAAATACATCAACTATATGCAACATTATGCAGTAAAGACGTATGCATTCTGAAATTGTATAACGTTCTATTTCAGTGGCAACCATTAATAAAAACAAAAAAGAACTGTAATCCTCACTGACGCCTCTAAGCCTGCAATTTTTGTTTTGCATTAAACCGTATAATATAAGAGAGAATTATATTTTGATGGTATAAATTTGCCATTTTCCGAGCTGTATACTGTGTCGCCCTAACGTTAAGGCACTTGGAGTTAAAATCGCCTTGTACCTATATAGTAAGAAGCTATTAAAAATCCAGCCTTAGGAAAAAACCAGGCTATTTGGGAGGACAAGGTTATTTCACGGGTCATAGAACATAATGACTCATTGGCGGGAAGGGCGAGTCGAAAGAACAGAGATAAGTCGTAAAACAAAAGGACAAAGAGTCTGACCGTTCTTTTTGATCAAAATTACCACCCCAATAGGTTCAAGTTCTATTCAGGGCTTTGAAGTTTTCACTAGCCAATGGACTTTGTACAGATAGCGCAAGGCGAGAAACACACCACATCTCATCATAGGTATTCCACGGTTCAATTATTGTTTTTACTAAAATTTTATTTCATCATAGTTGTTACCTTTTTTAATTTTATGAAACGCAATTTTCACAGTTTAAAGGATAAAAGTAAAACTTTTAATTAATGAAAAATTATGTTACAGGTATAAAATTATTTAATAATATTTTAGTCAGTTAGGAATACATGAAACATTAAAAACTTTTAATCTGAACTAATTTGTTTTATAAAAAAAACATCTATTAAATTGGATTTAAATGGAACTATATAATCGTTTTGATGAATAATATAATAAAAATATTACAATAATAATATAAAACTCGTAGTGTAAGTAATCATTTTTTTTTTATACTTTTTCAATATACCAATAATAGTCTTTAT